TTTATAGATACTTTTGTCCAAATGACCTCTAATCTCTGCCCATGAATGCGTTCACTCATAGCAACTGTTGGTAGGTTAGACAAGCTTTACAGAATGTTGATGAACATCCAATTCAGTCTAGTGACAAATTGTAGTGACCTTTCAGTAGAGGCGTTGTCTGACTTTTAGAGGTAGGCCTTCCGTTTGGGCTATTAACATCAAAACTCAAATACTAAAACATCTATACTTTAAAGCTAATTTCTGCTAGCGCCACTATAGGATTTTTAATAGTATCTAGTTGGTGCTAAGCTAATGCTGGTGCAGTAAAACATTTTTTGGCCGTTATATATTAACTAAGGACATTTAAGCTTGTAAAAGACATTTCATGTTTTATTTGAAGCTTGCAACAGACATTATTAGATATTTTACCTTGTATATGTGGTTTTCAGCAAATTTCGAGCAACTGTATGAGCTATGGATCATATACACAGTCAGTGATATATCTAGAACTTCCCGAAGGCCTAAAGTAACTTTTTTTCTCACAAAGCTTATTCCACCCATTGTAAATCAAAGCTTGGTTGGTTCTGCTGTTGCTTCCTATTTATGTTGGTGGTTAATCTAACAGGTAGGGCCTTCAGTTTAGCTCCTGAAGACCTAACCAATGGTGGAGCTCACTTGGCTGTATCTACCCAGATACCATGGAGAAAAGTTTTGATCATCTTTCATTGGCTGTTTCAAGGTTTTAACCCTTTTGTTTCCAATGAAAATATATTACTACACTGCTTGTAAAGCTCAAATACATCAAGTATGATGATTCTAATGAATAAAAATGAACTGAAAATTAGATTAATAGCAAAAATATTTCTTAATTCTGAGAAATTATTCTTTGAAGGTCTAGAAGGTCCTAAGTGTCCTGCTGGATTTTTCCAAAGTTTTGTATTCACAGTCAGTGACGTATCTAGAACTTCCAGATGGCCTAGAGCAATGTTTTTTTCTTCTTCACAAAACAGGTTCCACCCATTGTAAATCAAAGCATGATTGGTTCTACTGTTGCTTCCTAATTGCTGGTGGTTAATTTAACATGTAGGGCCTTCAGTTCAGCTCCTGAAGGCCTAACCAATGGGAAAGCATGCCTGGCCATCTTTCATCTTACATCGTTCACTGGCTGTTTCAAAGTCTTAACCCTTTTTTTCCAAACAAAACTGTTAAAATGTAGTAAAAGTATTACTACACTGCTTGCCAAGGTCAAATAAATCAAATATGATGATTCTATCGAATATAATTGAGCAAATTAAAGCTTATAAGATTAAAAGTAACAATATTTCGAGTTCCTAGAAATCATTCTCAGAAGGTCTAGAAGGTGTTGTGCTGGATTTTGCCATGGTTCTGTAAAGCTTGTCCAACAGCAGCTACAAAAGTGTTTGTGGGCGGAGCATGGAAAGGTCTATTTTAAGTCTTTTAAACAAGGGGAGCACATTACATTCAGAGTAGTCTTTAGCATCCGAAACAGCACCAGCCATTTTTGCACTTACGTCCCAGAAGCCGGCTGCTTCTTAAACATTTCTCTGATTTCATGTGACATCAACAGCACAGAGATAGGAAGTATCTAGGCAAACAAAACAATGTTTCAGCAAGTGCAAATGTCTTACATTAATTTTTAATGCGTTGTTCTTATCCTATTCATCCACCCTAATTAGAACTCCAAAACAGTTGTGATTCAACCCACGAGGACAGCTGGAGAAGATTGTGATTGACACATTTGACATGTTCTCCTCAAATAGTCATGAATAGAAAGTCTCTAGAGCGGAGAGGCGATTAAATACTGCATCTACTGCGCTGAAGTTAACCCCTGAACCCCCGCCCTCTCCCACCCCACCGTCTCCACCCCATTGTCTCCCACCCCACCCTCTCACATACATCATTAACTCTCTCTCTCTTTCACACACAGACATGCATGTACAATAGTGCTGTCAAAGTTAAAGCATAAACATGTTCAATATTTAACAGCACAAGTGTATTTTTTTTTCTTTTTTTATGCCGTTTAGACATTTTCCTAGTTTGACCCTTGGAACTATCCGTAGTAGTGCAGGCTGAAGCCCAGCTGCAGCGCGCTGTATGTTGCTATGAATTGAAATACAGCTTTTAAATTCATTTTAAAGCAACACCTTTGGCAGACTATGCTGGACAGTGCTAGTGGGAGAATACATCAATAAGCAGCAAACTGACAAAAGCAACAGTGAAGCTGAAAGCTCCAGCTCCACTCGAGAGCCTCCACTGTAACAAGAATCCACAACCAGAATGAATGACAGCAAGAGGCCAGAATTATTGGCTCTATACTGTGGCACCAAAAAGTATTTGGACATGGATTTGAAATTCGTTGTGTTCATTCCAAGACTGTTGTTTTCTCTTTTGTATTTTCTTAAAAGACGGACCATGATCATTTCTTAGCAGACTTCTGCAGAATCCTATTAATGAATGATCATGCATATTTTAAAAAGGTCACCTAATAAACGTTAACAATGTTAAAGTGTCCAAATATGTTTTCCAGTCACTGTATATGACGGGGCAGCTGGTGGTCAAGTTGGGATGTTAAGCACTAATAAGCACTTTTTCAGGGGCGTAGCCAAGGGGTTGCCAGAGGTGGCCAGTGCCAAGTGAGAATGAAGCATGGCCACCCTTCTGGCCACCTCAGTTATGGAAAGTTATGGAAAGTGAGACAGTCAGCCATCATTAATAAAGCATCAATTACTGCCCTCAGGGTGGCTACCAATCAGTAATGAAAGTCTAATGACACTGCATTTTATAAATAGCATATCTTACTGTGGTAGGCTAATTTGCCAAGCAAACAGGCAAGTGAATGTGAGTCCCTTCTGTGAGCTACATTATGAAGCAGGTTATTCAATGGTAAGATGACTGTTAATTATAAGCTAACTAAAAATTAGTCAGCCATATATTTATTATGCTAACTCATTTCTTTCAACATGCATGTGTTGTAGCTTACGTTAAACAGTGCTGTCTGGCTAGCTTTCCAGTCATTAGATTCATATCACAGCCTAAATTAATAACTTCTGTAGATGGAATATATGAAATGTTAACATTGTGCACTGAAAAGGTAATGGAGTCAATTTATTAGATTGAAATACATCACTTCCTCATGAATGACTAAAATAAATTACATCAATACAAGTTTTTTTTTTCTGTTTCCACAATAATTGCATTGATGTAATATTTTATTCATTTGGAAATGATGGACAAATTATTTAGCTATATAGTTGTATACAGAGATATATATATGATATATGACATATATATTCATTGGTTGGAACATGCAGCCGCTTTTGCTCTCACTGGTGATGAAAAGGAGGGTCAAATATGACCAAATAAAACAAATGTGATTCATTGTGACTAAGTACACTGAATAATGTGATTAATGTGATTAATCGTGATGAACTGTACACACTAATGCAAATTAATCATAATTAATTGCTTTGTTTGACAGCCCCAATGTACATGCATCCATACATATCGCTGCTGTCTCAACAAAACCTCATATCCCCATTTTTGTCATTTTTCAGTTTTTGACAGAATTTGAAAATGCCTGTTGCCCTTTACATTGTGTGTAAATTTCATGATGAATGGACCAAAAAAACAGCCCAGAATGGCTTGTAAAAACGTCTAGTTCCACTGACTTACATTAAAAGCAAAGTAAGTTTTTTCCTTCTCCTGTAAAGTTCCATTTGTAGATACAAGATTTTGTTCCGACAACAGTGATCTGCAAACATGTACACACATAAGTATACACACACATTCATACACACCTTCCTATATGGGTCAATGACAAGTAAGAAATTAGAAATAATGGTAGAAATTCTTGATGTACCATTGATTAAAATGATCATTATTAAAAAGGGTAAGATGTGCATTTCTTTCATAGCTTTTATAAAGACATGATTTTTTATAATTTATTAACTACTGGAAATATGTATAAACTAGTCTTTGTACTTGGACACTTATATAAACCTTTGTCCATAAACTAAAATGATATATTTTTTCAAATAAGTGAACATATGTATATGTATAACACATAATAGCAACACACGGTTTTAAATTGAATATGATTTTTAATATGTGTGAAAGGGATAGTGACATTGCACCATGAAGGTCACTTTGGTTTATGTTTCGATACCCAGCCCACAGTTTCTTAAAAACATGTCAAAATAAAAGTCCTTTATTGTCAATTTTGCTGCATGACATTTGACAAAATGAATTTATGGACAGATGTTTTGCAATTACTTATGTATTTAATTGCAGCCCTGTTTTGCAAAATATTGTGACTTTAAAGGTTTCATTTTTGTTCCCAAACTAAAAATCTTGCTAAGCTATTTTATTTTGAATTCTATACAGCTGAATTACTTTTATAATAGCTTACATAATCTGTATATGTTGTAGGATGCTTGCACCACCTGATATTTTAAGACTCTGAGAGGCATAAATTAATTTTATTTAATGTGTTGAAAATGTATTCACATACAGGAGGTTTTGTAGAATAATGTGATATATGTTATGTATGAATTACTTTATTTTATAAGAAAATAATTGACGTGGACACAAAAAATGCATGTCATGTCATTGACCCATACATGTATCCATTTGCACACACTTAGCATCCACAACCAATATGCTACCATACATTCCAATAAGTTAACATAGTTCATGAGTTGAAGCTACAGAAGTCCAGACCGTTTGGCCCACATCACATGATCTGTGTTCATTTGTACCACAGGACATATGTATATGAGAAAGGTGATGCAGGATTGGTCCATCACCAAGTCTTTCCATTGGTCAGTGCCATCAGCTACAGTATACCGCACAGTGCATGAGTCCATCCATCACATGTTTAATTCTCCTCTTGGTCCATGATTGAGCGTTCTCTGCTATAAGTGGGCCTCTTTTATCCCAGAATAGAAATTCCACCTTAAAGAAGAGCCTTGGGTCTCTCTGAAAGGGCCGTCATCTTCTCGCTATCGTGTGACCTAAAAAAGAAAAAAGAGAAAATAATGAGAGCGCTGCGTGTTTTCATGTGAAATGTGCGACGCTGTTCTGGTGCAGAGGGTGAAGGAGATCTCCTTCACACCAATCAGCGTTCAGCACGGATACCAGAGCAAATTCACCCAGACACCAGAGAGAGACTACCTACTGCATTTAAATCAGCTGAGAGAGAGAGAGAGAGAGAGAGAGAGAGAGAGAGAGAGAGAGAGAGAATGGAAAGGAGAAAGAAGTGAGAAAGGGAGAATGATAGAAAAGGGGTAAAGGGGAGAGAGAAAGGGAGTATGATAGAAAATTGAGAAACAGGAAAGTGAAATGGAGAATGAGAGAAAAGAAGGAGAGTGGAGAGAGAAAGGGTGATGGATAGAAAAGAGGGAGAGGGGAGAGAGAAAGGGAGGGAAAGAGGGAAAGAGGAGAAAGAAAGGGAGGAATGGAGTAAAGAGGGATAGAGGAGAGAAAAGGGAGGATGAAATTAAAGAGGGAGGGGGAGAGAAAAAGGGAGGATGAGAGTAAAGAGGGAAAGAATAGAAAAATAAAGTGAGGATGAGAGTAAAGAGGGAGATAATATAGAGAGGAAGGGAGGATGAGAGTAAAGAGGGAGAGAATAGAGAGAGAAAGGGAGGATGAGAGTAAAGAGAGAGAGGGGAGAGAGAAAGGGAGGATGATAGAAAAGAGGGAGAGAGGAGAGAAAAGGGAGGATGAGAGTAAAGAGGGAGAGAATAGAAAGATAAAGCAAGGATGAGAGTAAAAAGGGAAAGGGGAGAGAGAAAGGGGGATGAGAGTAAAGAATGAGAGTGGAGAGAGAAAGGGAGGATGAGAGAAAAGAAGGAGAGCAGAGGGAGAGAGGAGAGAGAATGACAGAAAAGAGGGGGAGAGGGGAGAAAAAGAGAGGATGAGAAGAAAAAAGGAGACAGAAAGAGAGAATGTTAGAAAAGAGGGAGAAGGGATACAGAAAGGGAGGATGAGAGATAAGAGACACAGGAGAAAGGAAGAGAGAATGAGAGAAAAATGGGAGACTTTTAACCCCCTTTTATTGAAGCATTAATAATTAAAGGATGTTACATCCTAATAGTTATATTAATAATAATGAGGATCCCCAAAGAAAATCCACCCATCCACAAAGATTCACCAATGAAATGATATCACACCCAGATCACTGAGAAAAATGGGAGAGAGTGGAGAGAAAGGGAGAATGAGGGAAAAGAGGGGGAGAAGAGAAAGAAAGGGAGGAAGAGAGGAAAGAAAGGAGGAGGAGAGAGAGTAGGAAGAGAGAGAGTGTGTGGAGGGAGAAAGTGTGTGGAGCGAGGAGGAGAGAAAGGGAGAAATTGGGGGGTCGAGGGAGGGAGGGAAGAAAAGAGAGAGAGAAAGAGTGAGAGAGAAAGAGAGATAGAAAGTGTGAAAGAAGTGTGGAACGTGTGAAACAGAGGGAGGAATCAGATAGTGGAAGAGAGAGACAGAGAGTGGAAATAAAGAGAGGAAAGAGAGACAGGTAGTGATAGAGAAAGCAAGAGAGAGAGATTGTGGAAGGAGAGAGTGAATGAGAAAGAGAAGGATAGAAAGATAATGAAGAAAAAGAAAAAAGACAGAGAAGGATAGTGGAGAGAGAGAGAGAGAGAGAGAGAGTGAGTGAAATGCAATATGAAGACTAGTTTTATGTTAAAGAAATAAGCTGAATGTGCTGCTCGTCACTCAGTACTGTTCTGTGACGTGTGTGCGATGTGTGTGTGTGAGAGAGAGAGAGAGATAGAGAGAGAGAGAGAGAGAGAGAGAGAGAGTTGGAACAGTTGCTATAAGACTTCAGCACACACACACACTTCTACACTTAAAGCTCAGCGGAGCAGCAGTGCATGAAACTCCTTCATCTGCAGCTCACCACCTCCCATTGCCTCCTCAGCATGATGCCCCTCTGCCTCGCTCCCTAATTTAGGTAGGACTTTTCATTCAAGGTCCAAACTTACTCAACTTTTAAAGGTGTAGAGCTGTTATTGTCAGTTTGTTATATAACTGCCAGATGGTCACAGTACCTCAACATAATTACATAACTATTGGAAATATTTTACTTTAAGACCTTTTTAATATCTTTTTAAGAACTCATTATGACCTGTTGTAGTACATAACTGGAGCGCACCAAGAATTCCATTAATTGTAATAATGCACAATAAACAATTTGTTAAGATGTTAAGATGTTGATATGCTCAATGAACAACAACTGATTGCCTAAATTCACACCTTATTGGTGTGTAATTGGCAGCATTTGATTTCTATAGGTTTGAGGTCGAGTCAGGTCACTTCTATAGTTTATTGCTTTAGAGGTCATTATAAGTCACTATTTGTTGCATATTCTATAGTTTTAGTCATGGCTAATCAGAGAATAAAGCACTGAACAAAATCGTGTACATTGACCTTAACTGAGGCAAGTGAGGCCTGCAGTTCTTTAGATGTTCATCTGGGTTCTTTTATGACCTCCTGGATGAATCGCTGATGCATTCTTGGTGAAATTGTGGTAGGCCAGCCACTCCTTACAAGGTTCACCACTGTTTTCAATTTTCTCCATTTGTGGATAACGGCTCTCACTGTGGTTCGCTGGAGTCCCAGAGCCTTACCAATGGCTTCATGTGGCATCATGTGCTGCTTTTTGAGACCTTCTATCCTGCTTTACATTGCCAGGCAGGTTCTACTTAAGTGATGTTTAGATTCAACAGGTCTGGCAGTAATCATGCCTGGGTGTGGCAGTGAAATTGAACCCAATATTCAATTTAATTTGGTTAACTTGTTGATTGATTGATTGATTGCGCATCGGTGGGCTCAAAGTTTTATTACAAACTTCTATAGCCTAAGAACAGCTCAACCAGTTTGCATAAAAGTCCCTGTAGTTACTCATTAATAAGCCTTAGTATGTAATGAGCCTGGGGTTTTCAGCAGTAAAACTCTTATAAGCTTTAATGCAATAAAACTAGCTATCTTTTTTGCTTGTCAAGCAATGGCAAAAACATAAATGATTTATTAAATATATATAAAATAAATATAAATAAAATAAATTGCAAAACAAGATCAAACATATGATTATATTCACATTAAATGAATTCTCTTCAACAGACAAGTACAAATGTGGTATGGATTAAAAGTTTATCACTTTCAACAGCATTTCTCTGCTTGTTTCAATAAGCTCTCAGTAAGAAATAAATATGTATTCAATTCCAACTTCCTCCTCATCCCATTGGCTCCTCAGGATGACTGGCAGGCCAGCGCAGCCAATCAGACGCTTGACGTCCAGGGTCATAAATTCAAGTGGAAGCCCATGAGCTGCCATCCATCGCCTGTCTCTCTCGCTTACCGATTTAATTAGGACTCTTGATTCGAGAGGCTCGGCGGAACCTGTAGCCCATAATGCATCCTAATGAAGGCGACAGATGTTGCGCTGTTATTCCGTCTCTCCGAGCAATTACTCTTATGGCGCCACCGCGCTCTCCGCAACTGTTTTCCTTTTTGATACGTCACCTGTGAGGAAGCAGCACCTGTGCCGCCCCACGGCACAAATTGCCTTTCTCGGATTTCGCCGGAATGATCGGGCCCTGGGCTCACGGCAATCTGTCGACACGTGCAGGAGCACAATTAATACGCGGAGCAGCTCTTTGTTTCTACATGTGTACAATTCTCTCTCTTTCTTTCTCCTGGCCTTTCACACTGCCTGAACCTTCTGCTACTATTGTCTCTACAACCTCACTGCCACGCCATGTAATCTATCCCTTCGGGTGTGTTTACATGGTGAGATTTTGCATTGCACAATCGAAACCTCAATCAAAACAACTTCAATCATCTAGCAAGCAACTTTGTGAAACAGGTTTCTTAAAACATCCAATCAGAACACAGATAACATGATGTTGTCATGGTCTCTTGGATGTTGCATTTTTGATGATAAGTAGGTACCTTAATACTGCAGTTCATAAGATTTTTTTGTTGTTCTTAAAATTGAAAAATGTACACACACATTTTCTAAGCTGCTTATCTTCCAGAGCCACAGGGGTGCTGGAGCCTATTCCAGCGTCCATCAGGTAGAAGGCAGGAAACATCTTGAATGGGTCACTAGTCCATCACAGAGCAGACACATTCACACCTAGGGTCAATTTAGCATCTTCAATTTGCCTGGATGCATGCCTTTGGACTGTGGGAGGAAACCCACACAGACACAGGGAGAACATGTAAACTCCACACAGAAAGGACCCTGTTCACCTGACCGGGGAATCGAACCCAGGCCCTTCTTGCTGTTAGCGCTATGCACCGCACCACCATACCACCCCAGAAAGAAGCAACACAGGATTTTTGGGAAGGATTTTGTAGAAGTTTTTCAATCCACATCACACTTTGTTTTGTATTAATGCCACAAGTACAGACTCAATGAAAGATCTGGCTTGATGTTTAGACCTCAAGTGCAAAATCGACATTATACCGACAAAGATATGATGAAAATAGAAGATAATTCACGCACATCCTTGGAAGACATATGCTTCACCAAGTTTTGACTGATTTCTCTTTGAATATTCTTTCAGTGTGCTTGCAATCATCAGATTCATCTACTCGGGGAAGGGGTCCGAAGCACAACCCATGTTACAAAATGTTCAGTTACACTTTATTTTGATGGTAGATTTTATCTACACATAGTTAAATTGTTAACTAACCTTTTCTTAGTTATCAACAATATTAGGCTAAGGGTTAGGTTTAGGAGTAGGTTTAGGTTTTGTGTTGAAGTTAAAGTTAGGGGTTAGGTTTCGGGTTAGAGTTAGATTTAATAGAATCTTTCACACTCAACTTCAAGCACAGTTGCATTTAATATTTAATGCATTTAATATTTACTTGAATGTTATTTAAAGAGAGACTGAGCATCTACAAATCATCTACAATGGATCATTATCATGTTGACTATATTGTTTTTAAACTTAATAACTAATGTTTGTGTAAATGTTTTTTCAACTGTTTTATCCTGTTCAAATCTCACTGAGCGATTGTGGACGTGACACAATCGGTTACTGCGCCACAACTAAACAATCAGATTGGTCGCTGCTCAGTTAATTTACATAAAGTTCGTCCAGAATCGTCCAAAGCAGAGCGAAGATGTGCATCAGTGGTCTGATGTGTCCGTTATGTATATCTTGTCGTCGTTTGCCTCATTATGGCACATTGTCATCTTTTACATGATGTCATCATTCATGTGTATACGCTGCTTAAAAATTCAGCACCCTCAACTCAACTACATCCTCCTGAAATGACCACACTTTGCATTTTTGGATGCAATATATTATGAAGATAGCTCTGGCTGCATATTGGACTGTTTGGTCAGAGCATTATGTCATCCAGGGATCCTACTGGGTATACTGGGTGCAGTCAGTACGCAGGCTTTGGACGTATCCCATGCAGGGCAGGGAACCCCAGAACAGGATTGAGGACTACTGAAATTTAGGCTCAGGTGATGGTTTCCTTTCACTTAACACACGATGTTCCATGGATTCTTGAATGAGCACTTCTGTCAACGACTTCCTGCTCGCTGAAAGATGTTAAAGGTGTGTTTCTCGGTCTCATTCCTGGAGTCCCTCTGCACTGTAGACACATTCCTCTCGCTCTAACACACCTGACTCAACTCATCACCTAATTAACAAGTCCTTCAAGAGTTTATAAGTGAGGCTCCAGAGCAGCGAGATACTAGAACGTGTAGTGCAGTGGGACTCCAGAATGAAGACTCACAAAAACTGTCTTGAAGGAGAACCGATTTTTCAAAATTTCTGTAGTATTCAATCACTGAGATGTAAACAAAATCATTTGGAGTGGTTTGGTGTGAAATGGTTGATTGTAGAGACTCAGATTACTTTACAGTGGTGGTGATAGGAACCAGGGGTCGCCGTGTCTATAACACAAATACAAGTATTTTATTTATTATCCAACACAACCAGTGAACCTGCACATGATTTCTGAGTTTTTATATGTAATGTTCATGATGGCAAAATATTCTGAATCTGAAATCTGAAACAATTTTTTTTATGATGTACCTGTCCATCAAGAAAAAAATATATATATTTTATTTTTTCAAAATCTTCTCAAAACCATCATAAAACCATGCTTCAGGCATTAAGCTGCAAATATGTAATCATTTCATGTAATACTTGGATGTCTGGTTCCTATTACTAACACCGAACAATTCTGACTTGATGTGTTTCTCTGGAACAGAGTATTTCACATCAAACCACTCTGAATGAGTTTGTTTACATCTTAATTATTGAATTATGCAAATTTTGTTGCAGAATTGCAGAATTCTCATTTTCATTTTTCAATTTTAGTTTCCATTTATAACATTTGTGTGAGTTTATGTACTAAAAACTACTATTACATTAACATTTTTCAACCTCTGTTTATCTCTTTAAATTAAGCAGGTTGTTTTTGTTACTCTGCCTTTAACATTCAATTATGTAAACAGCCTCTGCTCTGATTGGCTGCCCTGCATTGTGCATCGTTCAAAAAGTAGTCCAGAGTGATGCTTTCCTTATAACTTCAGTGTGAAAATGGGACTCCTAACAACCACCTGCCAGACCTGGTAGACCACCAACACTGTGGGAAGACAGCTCAGCACTATGAGTCTGAAAGGATGTGTAGCTGTCAAGAAGCCTCACTGAGAAAAGAACAACTTTTATAAATCAAACAAAGCAGCTGCTGATATTCTCAGAACAATGGACTGACCACCCCAGAGTCCAGACCTCAACATCACTGAATGTGTTTGGGATTACTTGGGTTGTGAGACACAGTAAATATAACCAAGTTCTAAGACCGAACTTTGGAGATGTGGAAAAATATCCCTGAGGGTTTCGTAGACATTATTACAGCATTATTAAACTGTAATAAAGGTAAATATATCGTCTGCCTTTTTTTCTGCTGATGAAAAATTAATGACTTGTACTTAATGGCCATTTCGACTGGAAATTTGCCTGGACACTTTGGCGGTCTCTGACTTTTGCACAGTACTGTACATGCATAGCATATAGCCTGCATAATCCTCAATGAACCACTATTTATATTTATATTGATTTATATTTGAAAACCAACAATACATATAAAACAACATATAATTAGAAAATATATGTAGGTTCACTGATGGTTTTGGATAGTAAATAAAATGACTATATTTGTGAACAATTTCACATCAAACTAGTCTAAATGACTTTACTCACGTCTCAATGATTTAATTATGCAGAACATTTTGAAATATCTATAGAATTGTCCTATTCAATTCCTACCAATATTTTCTGTCCATTTAGGTGAACAGGACTCAAGTGACCACCACCCAAACATTCAGTTGGCTGGGGCGTCGCTTAGCACCATGAAACCCTGCCTTGAAGTGCATTATGGAGAGATCAAAAAGAGGAAACAAAGAGTCACAGATGCTCCTGGGGGGGTTTTGGGTCTTCAGCAGAATCCCATCAGCACACATGGGAGAAGAGGGACAAGATGTGTGTTTTTGAAGGACAGTTTTGTGCCTGAAAACGCCTGTGGGAAAAAATCACATCCACAAAGAGCTCCTTTTCAAACAGTCCCTTGGTAAGACCATGTCTCTGCAGGCATTTGGACGGCCTGCTGCTCTTCAAAGGTTTCGAAAAGGTTAGCGAAGAGTTCTGTCTGACCCATTTGTGGTCTAAATGCAAAGCGGGAGCTGCCACTCTATTCTCTGTCATAACTTTCTGTGACCTGCATGTAATATAATGCGATGTGTTCCTGGACTGGGCTATTTATGTTCAGAAAAAAAGTCCCAAACGTTCTTTCCCAGCCTAGCTCTCTAACTGTGGTTCTGATGTTCATAAGTACTTCCTTTTTCAAGGTCTTGAGGCAGGGCTGGGGGGTATATATGGCCAATTCTTTTTTTAAAATCTTTAGGAATGTCTTATTCACCTGTGGAGGTTCTGGATCTTCCAGGTCATTGAATATCCTCACTGGTCTTGAAATTCAAGATTGTTCCAGTTGGCTTGACTTACAACTACTTCACATGGGATCCAAATGACCCTAAGACTCCTATGGTTTGGTGACCCTCCATCTTCTCCAAGGTTGCTCATACCTCCAACCCTTCTTCAAGCCGTAGAGTTTGCTTTCAACTTTCTGCAGGTGTATGTTTGGGCTCAATCCCATTTCACCCCTTGCCCCTACCACTTAGCCCTTACCCCTCTGTTTTGCGCGTTCATGCCTAGGGGTAGGGTGTCCCGAATTGTTGTTGAGATAGAAGGGTAGGGCGAAGTGTTATACTCTCCAAAATGTTCCCCCTATTCACACCATTCAAGAATGAGCTCTAGAATGTTCTCCTTCATTCTCATTGGTTTATTAGATTTTCTGTTCTCATTCTGGAACAATATAAAGCCATTTGCCAACATTAGATTGTTGATATTTATTGGGGAACATTGGGTCAGTGTTCCATGGAATTAAGTTGTCTTTCCATCTTTGTGGTTAGAATATTTTGACCCCTTGTTGGAGCTCTTCATATATGTTCTTCATATTCATGCATTCAAGTGCTACTCAGTCTGAAACATAGTTATCTAGCTTGCTCTCTTTTGGTATATTTTCCCCCATTACTCCAAATCCTAAAAGCCCCCTAAAAGTGTCCTCACCTTGGTAGTTTTGACTTTGTTGCCAGTGCTGCAGGACCAGCCAGTGAGATCTGGCAGAACCTTACATTCCTCACCATCCAGACACGGATGCATCTGACACCACCATTTCTGCAGGACAATGGATGCTGCGGGGGTGAGAGAGAATCAGACAGAAAATCAGACACACAGACAGACAGAGAGCATTTCTCAGTACCAAGGACTCAAAGAATGAACTTGCATTCCTCAAAAAGATGTTCTTAAAGAAGTTACCATGCAAGAATATGAGAACAGAGAATGTCCCTGAAGGAATTTGAGATGTGCCGTGTATTTGTATGTCGTGCAGCATGATAAGCTGCAATTTAGTAGCCTAAAAGCTTAAAGGGCATTCTGGCCTGAAACTAGTTTAATACGTTATTTGTTGTGTTATGCAGAATTCATATAGCTGTAACTCTCAGCCTCATTGGTTTCACAGAATTCACAATTCTACATTGTTTTCACATTTTTGTTTAGCATGCTTTAAATCATAACCCTTCAGGGTCAACAAATTCTGACTGCAAACTGCAATCAACAAAGTCTAAGCAAGACACCCCAATATGAAATCTTCTAAATTCTAATTAAAATGTTTAATAAAGGATAATCCAAAAACCAACAGGCAAGGGTTCATATATGGGCAAACAGGGCAATGCAGGCTACGCTAAGTCAGGGTGAAAGACATGAGCAAAAGGTCACAACACAAAAGAGGAAAACAGAGTCAAAAAAGGGGTCAGGCTAGAATCGTAAATAAGAAAAACGAGCAAGAAAACGAACCAAAACTGGTTCAAAAACTGGAACAAAAGGCTCAGTGATGCACAGGAGACTGATACAATACTTCAGAAACAAACAGATTATATAGGCACTTGAACAGGTGACAATAATCAAAAACCAGGTGAACTGGAGCATGGATAGGTAGACGGCTGAGAGTCTATGGTCATGTGATCCCACAGAGGATTCTGGGAGTTGGAGTTCTGGACGGAGTGAGGGGTGTTAGCCTCTGCTGAGCATGGCGGGAGGCGTGACATCTGCTTTGATTTCTAAACACTGCTCACGAGTGTAAATGTACAAATTTGTCATCTTAATGTTGGAAATATTTACATATTGCTCCACTTAGATTTGCCTGTTTTGCCAATTGTGAGAGAAGTGACCTTTTGTGTGAGGTGAAAGTTTTGGTGAAAAAGTCTTTAGTCATTTTTATGTTTAGTCAAGTTTTAAAAGATAAGTAATCTATAAGTATTTAAAAGTAATCAGATTACATTATGTTAATATAGTAATCCTTTGGATTAAGTTACAATTGCATTTTTAAACAGGTTATTGGTAATCTGTAATGTAATACATTTTTTAAGTTACCCTCCCAACCCTTCTAGCAGTAACATCTTACTTTCCTCTGCATCTCTGCATTCACCTAACAAAAAAATATAATATAAGAAAACAGTAAGGAATATTCTGGGTATTTTTGCCGTTCCAGTTATCTTCAATACTCTTGATTATTGGAGAACAACTTGGGTAAGGGAAGGCCATCAAGCAAGTCTATGAGAATGCAAGAAAACACACGTACGCGAACGCACATCGAGAATCAAAAAAGAAACTGAAAAGAGAGTTCATGAAATGAATTACCTTCAAATAAAAAAATCATTACTTCTTCTGACACTCGAGCTCTATATACACTAGACCTGCTCTTCCATTTCATAACAGACCAAACCTCCATGGTCTTGGAACATCACTCCAACCACTCCCGCCTCCTTCCCACACACCAAAAGGGAAAACCTACTGCAATAAGACTGCTCTCTTTATGAAAGTCTGTGCTAGTTTGCACAGTCCATAATAAGCTACAGTCGGGATGAAAGCCAGCTAAAGTTGAGAGGTACTTCTGCAAGGACACCTTTATGTGTGATTCTAGGAAGCAAGATGGAGCTTGATAATTAAAAGCCTACAGTGATTTTCTTGGAGAACAAATAAAAGTCTCTCTGTCTGTTACTTTGGTAAAGGACAGTTCCTTCTGACATTTTAAGGCAAATAACCTCAGGTTTCACTTGAATACAAATAAGAGCTTTTTCGAGTGAAGAGGGATTTGGATGAGGAACCTGGCAAAACAGCACACGCTTCCACCGTGTGTTTATAATCACAGCTGAGGGAACAGACTGTTCATTCTCAAGCTGAGGAGAAGATCCAGGACTATGTTCTTGTGGAAAGATTGGAAAAATTGATGAGTTGCTACACTGACAGAGAGACATTCTGTGTTGTTTTCTCGCTGTTGGCATAATTCGCTGATTCTGTGCAGAAACTGCCAGTTTTGCCATATTTGCTGCACTGGTTAATCAATTTGGCAGGAAGAACTTCATCATGAATTACTGGGCAAAAAGTAGTTTATTTGATTTCTAATCAAAAAAGTTATTCATATACAAACCCAATCCTAAAAAAAGTTGAAAGCAGTGATTTATAAATCTACTTTGACCTGTATTTGAACAAAAGCAATACAAATTTCATTAGGTTTTGTAAAAATATGCTCATTTCGAAATTGATGCCTGCAACACATTCCAAAAGAGTTGGGAAATTAAAGAGTGGGAACATTGGGAAATGTTCAAAAAACATCTTAAACAGTTGATGCAACCGTGCCTGGATATAAAAGTAGCATCCAAGAAAGGCTGATTCGTTTATGAGCAAGGATGGGTCAAGGCTCACCACTTTGCCAAAAAGTGGACAAAATTCCGACGCTCGCAGACCACATTTCAGTAAAATGGGTTTATTAATAAAGGGAGGAAAAATCAAGGTCAGACATGTTTTAAGCCAAAACATGAAAACAGTAACCATGTAGGAAGTCCAAAAAGCAATGTCCAAAATCCAGAAACCAGGTCAAACCAGAAAGTACGACACTGGAAGTGCAAGGCAAAAGGCAAGGTTGATAAACAAACAAGGCAAAGTCATACACGATACACCAATCAGACAGAATAGAAGGCTCGGTAAGGCTCTGTAAACAAAGGCAATACTTTGCAACGAGACTAAGCTAAAGCCCAGGCTTATATACCAAACTAACAAGCACATGGAACAAGTGAGGGTAATCAGTACTCAGGTGAGGCAGACCAGTGTAGAGTCATGTGAGGGAGATCAGAGGTCACGTGATCTGGAGTGGGGTTCTGGGTAATGGATTTCAGAGGTTGGGAGGCAGAGACAGCGGGAACCCAGGGAAGCGTGACACAGGGATTTCAGAGATTTTAGATATTTCACCCTCTACAGTGCATATTATCATCAAAAGAGTCAGGGAATTCTGAGAAATGTCTCGGCATAAAGGAAAAGGCCAAAAAGTACAAAGACTGAAAGAACCATCCATATTGTTACCAATGTAAAGGTTTAAAATCCAGGGTCGACTGTGGTATGGGGGGTATTTGTGGGTAACTTGCTCCATTAATGCTAAAGCCATGTTAGAGCAACATATGCTGCCTTTTAGACACCATCTTTTTCAGGGATGTCCATGCTTAGTTCAACATGACAACACCAAGCCACCTTCTACATGTGTTACAGCAGCAAGGCTGGGTAATCAGAGAGTGTGGGTGCTAGTCTGGTCTTCCTGCAGTCCACAACTATCTCCAATTGTGTCTTATTAAGCTCAAAATATGGCAACAAAGGTTCAGTTGTGCAGCTGAAGACTTGTACAACAGTAGAAGGCAAAAAAAAATCACTTTCAAAACGGGATCAGTTTGTATCATCAGCCCCAGATGATTATTAAGTGTTGTTAAACAAAAGGTGGGTTAAAAAGGTTTTAACAACTTTTTGGAAAGTGATGCCTGAAATTTGGAATGAGTGTATATTTAAAAAAATAGCAATGAAGTAAATAAAGTAAAACTTCAAATATGGTGTTTTTGTACTGTTTTCAATTTAATGCAGGCCAAACAGAATTTACTAAGCACTGCTTTCTGTTTTTGTTTGCTTTTCATATATTGTCCCACATTTTTTGGAATTGGGTTTATACAGAGAAGCCTCAATAACTAATTATAATAAATCCTTTATTAATTAGTGTCCACCTTTTGCCTGTACTACAAATTTCATTCTTTTCAGAAGACTGACTTTCAGTTTTTCTGAGAAATCTGTAGGGATATTTTTCTACACCTCCAAAGTTCAGTCTTTTGTTGGTTGCATTTTCTGCTTCTCGCCATCCAAGTAATCCCAATTACAAATTTAGACTCAGTCCATAAAACGTTACTCCACATCTTAGATTTTTCTCAGTGGGTGCTTCTTGACAGCTACACATACTTTCAGACCCATAGAGCTGATTTTCTCCTCTCTCTCAGTGATGAAAGTTTTGAGTGCTGTTTATCTGATGGGGACAGTTTTGGTGTCTACCAGGTCTTGCAGGTGGTTGTTAGGAGTCACATTTTCTCTTTAGCTTTTAACCATTTTTTGAATTTCTGTTTTAGAAGCTCACTTTGCTTATGCAAGTAGATTATCTTACATTTAATCTTTTTTTTTCAAATCTTATTTTGGCATATTTTTCATAATGTCACTGATTCCTCTGGCAACAGCTTTTGGTGGGAAGATTTGTTGGCAGCTGTAACTTGTTTTAAGATGGGGAGGATGGAAGAGTTAAAGTGGCAGTAGAGTGCACAGAAGTAAAGAGTGGGCAAATGAAATACCATCAACTGTTAGTACAGCACAAGAGCTGCACTGCAATCATACCAAAAAGATCATTACATTTTAGTAAAGAAGTACTTTACTACAGTTTACAATTCATATGGAGAAAGTCTTGTGTTGCATCTGTTGCATTAGATGAACAACTTAAAATTTTCAAATATTGTAAGGATAATTTTGAGAGGTATTTGAGTACTCTTCCAGAAATCCTGATGAGTATTTCAAGCCTGTAAAATGCTGTTTGGGCCAGCTTTAGAGTTAAAACTCTGAAGGCTCAGAATGTGTCACCTTGAAACAGGGCCTGCTGTGTTGTGTCTTACATTTCAGAGGACAGTAAACTTGTTTCACTTTCCAAACAAACAACAGCTTTTTCTAATTCAAGACAACACAATAAAGGAAGCAGTGTTTAGCAATGTCACCTTCTTTCTTCTCTCTAAAAACACTGGCCTACATCCAGTGCCTCATTTCTCTCTTTCTCTCTCTTTTCTCT